AACAAAATTCTAACTCACAAAAAAAGACCAGACTTACTGGCCTGACAGAGACTGGAGAAACCCCAAGAGTATGGCCCCTGGACAACCTTTTAACTCAGTAATGAAGCCACTCCCGAGGTTCACCCTTCAGCCAAAGATTAGATGGGCCCATAAAACAAAACGAGACTAATGGGGCACAACAGTTCAGAGACAAGGACTAGAAGGCAGGAGGAGACAGGAAAGCTGGTAATAGGGAACCCAGGTTTGAGAAGGGAGAGTGTGACATGTTGTGGGGTTGTTAACCAATGTCATAAAACAGTATGTGTACTGTTTAATGAGAAGCTAGTTTATTCTGTAAACCTTCATCTAAAGTACAATAAAAAAAAAAAAAAATCTGGCCTCTAGCGTTTCTTGAACATATGATGTCATTTCTTTCCTTAGTTTTAGAAAATTGTCAGCCATTGTCTCTTTAAATGTTACTTCTACCACATTTTTCCCCCTCCTTCTGGGACTCCAATTACATGTAAGTTAGACCTTTTTGTCTCTTCCCATAAGTCTTTCATGCTCTTTTCTGTATTTTCTATCCTTCTGTCTCTATATGCTTCATTTTGGATATTTTCCACTGACTAATCCTGCCTTTGGCTATATCTTATTTTCTGTTAAGCCAGTGATTGAATTTTTAAAATAATTTTTTCAGACCTAGAATTCCCATTTGACTGTTTCTTTGAATAGAGTTACCTGCTGAAATGCTCCATCTTGTTCTGTATTTTCTTGCACATATTAATCACAGTTATTATCAAGTCTGTGTCTGATAACTCTAGTCTTTGGATCTTCTGTGGATCTCTTTCTGTTAGTTGTTTCTCCCCCTTGGTTTTCAGTCATTTGGATGTTTTTGTTCTGCCTGGTTATTTTTCACCGAATGCCCGATACTGTATTTAGAAAGTGTAGAAATAATTTGTGGCTCAGGATGATAACTTCCTCCAAAGAAGACTTATTTTGCTTCTGACAGGCATTTGGCCAGGAGCACGCCACCTTCATCTAATCAGAGGTCAAGTTAACTTAAGCTGATTTTCTGTTTTTGTGAGGTCAGTTCCATGAGCCTGCTTTTATCAGTTCCTCAACTCATCCGGGCTTTTCTGCTGTCCTGATGTTAATTCTCAGACCCCGGCATTGGTGGTTTGCAGCCTGCAGTGGGGCAGCAAGCAATAGGCAAGGAATCAGTGTCAAGATAGGGCAGAAACAGCAGGAATGGACCCTAAAGAGTGTTTCTTCCGCCTGTCTCTCCATACTGCTTCCTGTACCCTTTCACCTCAGGCTACAGCCACCCACTCCCCATACACACACCATTTCAAGACACACACAATCAATCTCCCCAGGGATTTTTCCATTTTTGTTGTTTAGTTTTTGAATTTCATGTTTCCTTTGCTTCTATAGTTTCTGCAGAGCTGATTCTTGGGAAGGGAGCCAGAAGCCCATGCTAGTACACCGTCTTGGCAGGAACCAGAATCCCTTTCCAATATTTTGCATTCATTCCAAGATACCTTGTGGCCCTGTCAAATTTAGAAATGCATACACAACAGTCTTTGTCCAAAAGGACAAAGAATAAAAGTTATTGGTGAATTCAAATTTACAGATGATGGATTATAATAAAGACTAGATATAGGGAACAGACTTGGGACTTTTAATGTTAACAATCAATATTTAAATTATATTCCTTTTGCTTACCAAATGCCTTGTCTTTTATGTGTTGTATTCCTACTCAGTAATTTGTTTTAATTAAACACATTATTTAATATTCAACGTAACCAGAGAGAAAACAGATAATGTAATATTTTTCCATACTTTATATTTCAGAACTACCTTATTTTTAATCCAACAAATAATAAAGAATTGGTGAGCAATAGTAAAACGCGGGCAATATATTATTCATGGGTGAGTAGAAATATTTTGTTATCTTAAATGTGGGTACAAGTATATGCTCATCCTTTGAGCGTAGATGTTTTGGTAGTGTAACAATATACAGGAAAACCTGTGAAAGCGGGAACCTGTCAGAGAAGGAAAACATACATTTTTTCTAATAGAGGGCGATAGAAAAGTGGTAAGACTGCACCCTGTCAAAGGTGGAAAACCTGCGAGACCTGGAAAACAAGGCAGTCCTGGCGAGTTTTGGCTGTCTCAGTATCAATGTAGGGAGCCGCAAATATATCTTAAAATGTTTTTAATTTAATCATAGTATTTATCTTAGTCCCACTGGAAATTAGCATATTAAGTCAGAAGCAGATAATTTAAGTTAAATTAGAAAAATTTTTAAGTAATCAGGCAAATATTTATTTGAATGTACTTTTCAGGTCTAAAATTTAGGGTTTTTGGGGGGTGCGGGACTTTGTTCTTTTTAGAAAGAAATGGGCAAACATCAGGAATATGTACACTAGCATCGGCAAGGTCATGAGATTAAAAAAACTTTGACTCCCTGATTTTTAGTGATGTTTATTACTTCAGCTGTTAACGATCATAGAGCCTTATTCATGTAGAATTCAGATTTGGATTAACTACCATATAAAGTCACAATCACTGGTGGCTTTTTTAATGTATTTACTCTCCCCTCAGAATGGTTTGGATGTTCCCAGAGGCAGCAGGTTCTCTTATCTGTAGAAATTGCAAAGCCCTGGCCTTGTTTAGATGCCTTTGTTTGGATTTTGTTATGTAGTTCCTCTTTTCAAAATCAGGTCTTTTTTGAGTAGTGATTTTTTTTTTTTCTGCACTTCCCAGTATGAAGAGAAAAATACACTTGCTCACAGTGCCCCACTTTTAACAGAAAAAGTGAGTATGTCTGTTGCATTTGTATACATCAGATTCTGTGGAGACTAAGTATATGTGTGTAAGCTTAGTGGGGAGCCCTGGTGGCACATTGGTTAAGCGCCCAGCTGCTAACTGAAAGGTCAGTGGTTTGAACCCACCAGCTGCTCTGCAGGAGAAAGATGTGGCAGTCTGCTTTCATAAAGATTAAAGCCTTGGAAACCCTAGGAGACAGTTGTACTCTGTCCTGTAGGGTCACTATGAGTCAGAATTGACTCGATGGCAATGGGGTTTTTCTGTTTGTTTGTTTTAAGCTTGGTTGGCTTGGACAATTATTTGTATGTCTTCATATTAAACCATTGAGAAAGGAATTTGAAAGATTTGGGTTCTTTATCCCTATTGAATTGTTGGTAGAGAATAATGTCAGTATTGTTAAAAATAAAGTATTATGGAGGAAAAAATTACTATCATGAGAAAATCTCCTCCAAAAAGGCGATAGCTTTTATAATGTATGTGCGCAGATTGACAAAGAATCAAAGTTAACTTGGAGTGACGTAGATAGAATAGTTGAACATGAATGGATCCCTTATAAAGCTGCTCAGTTTCAGACCAATAAAAAAATGACACTGGCTGAGATAATCTTTAAACCTTAAACCAAAAATATCCCCTGAAATCTTCTTAAAACCAAAGAGTAGTTTAGCTTAACTAGTGAAAAATGTCTGCCTTGACCCCCGTGCTTTTTTAAGATCTATCTATATGGGATCAAACTGACAACAGCAACTTAAAAGATTAGATAAGAGCCTTAGGGGGCAGTGAGTTTATGTTAACAGGTAAGCAGCAGTTTAGATACGGGGAGTGAGAATGGTTGCACAACCGGGGAGTGAGAATGGTTGCACAACCGGAAGAATGTAATCCGTGTCACCGAATTGTATGTGTAGAAACCGAATTGTATATGTAGAAACCGTTGAATTGGGGTATGTTTTGCTGTATATATTCTCAACAACATCAGCAAAACAAATTTAAAAAAAAATGACATGGGGTATTTAGATACTTATGAGCCAATAGGAATGGTGATGAAACATTGGAAAAACCATTTTATTTTCCCCGTTTACCTCAAGATACTGCATTTGAGGTGGATGTCGAGTTTTTGTGTCCTGCACAATTTTCTGCATTTGATATCCACGTAGTCTGCTCTTGGTGAGCACCTTATGGTGATTTTTTCCTGCTCCCTTTTCTCACTCTTGGTATAATTTGTAGATAGCTCTTTTTTTTTAAGAGGGTTTGCCAAAAGGAAAGAAAAAAAAGATGGACACAAAGAAAGATTATTCTGTGTGCACTATTTGCTTTTCATGAACCAACGTATCAAACAAGAATCATTTGAAATTCTAAAAGAGCCCTTGTATTGAAATAGTGCTGCTCTTGGAAAGAACGTGATGTTCTTGTTTGACCCAGTATTGTTTGACTGATCCTCCTGTGTTTAAGTCAGAAGAGGCAAAGCCAGAATCAGAGAGTCGGGCAGCCAGACCTGCTTGTGTCACGTGGCAAGTTGCTGAGGTTCACTCTCATTCATTCGCTAAACATTCACTGAGGGGCGTCAGGTCACTGAACTGGGTTTTTTCTATAGTTTTTCTCAAAGACATTGTCTAAGAAAGACAGCCTGTTGTCTGATTTTACCTAGCACAAATTTCATAAGGCGTCTCATTCTGGAGCATTTCTATGTACTTAAATAATTTCTACTGATGGGAAAATTACTTTACGATCAAAGGGAGGCTGGGAAAAGTATTCAGTGATAATTTTACAGCCAGTGCATGCTTTCGCTCACGACAGACATCAATTCCTTTATCTGTCTTGGAAACCTCGGTAAGAGAAGTTGAACAGGTGTCCACAGTGATTATCAGTATTTCATTTGCTTTGAGCAGACAGTTTAATAATTGAACATGATACATGGCCCGTCATTTGTTCTTAGCAAACCTTCAGACGGTCAGAACTGCCCGAACTGCAGCAACCCACGAGGGAAGGTTTTTTAGTGATTGCTTTTTGCATTCTTTTTTCTCCTATATTTATTTCAGTGAACTATTATAAAACATTGTGTTGACAAATGCTTTGTTTTACATTTATTATCAACAATAACTCATAACCTGCCTCTTGAAATGCAGACATTCAACAAGCTCGTGGGAAAATTCAGCCAGTCCGTCTTTCACCTGAATTTAACACAAATACTCTCGGCAACAATGGAAGGAAAGCTGGTTGTCTGGGACATACGCCGCCCGCCACCATCTGCCATCACCTTTTTGGGCTTTCCCTATATCAAACCTTGTAAACTGGTTCATTTGCAGAAGGAAGGCATCACTGTGCTCACTACAATTGATAGGTAATTAATTAAAAAACAGCTATAGATGATTATAAAAGTGTGTTAAAGCCCTTTTGGATGTATGCACATATTTTGTATATGCATAGAATATTTCTGGGGAGAGTCACAATTAACTGGGAACACTGTTGCCACTAAGGAGAAGAACCAGGAGCCCTGGTGGTGCAGTAGTTAAGTGCTCAGCTGCTAACCCAAAGATCAGCCGTTCGAACCTACCAGCAGCTCCGCAGGAGAAAGATGTGACAATCTGCTTCTGTAAAG